CCAGGCATATGAAGCCTTGCCATCTTCAGCCATTGGCTTTCAAGGCCACCCTGATCATAGACATGTAGCCTGTAGACCGAGGAGAAAAGAGAATGTGAAAAATTGAGAGAGTGATTTTTATGGGCCATGCCTAGAAATGGTGTACACTCAAAGGGTGGTCCGCTGACCTCTACTGCTCTGTAAACTGTTCATTACCTACTGGGTGTTGTATGGAAATTGACAACAAGTGTTTGTAAACTTTGAATAACAATTTGACAAAGTAATTTTATGTCTGTTGAATCTAATAATTAAAAAGTGGACTTGTATTTTGTGTGAATTTTTAAATTTCAATTTTCTGGTATTTTATTTTTATTTTAGTTTATGAAAGTATCAGTCCACAATAAATTGGGAAGAAATGCTACATTACCACAAATAGTTTGAAAAGCACTGCTGTACCATTTCAGTCCACATTCCGTTGGTCAAAACTCAGTCACATGTCCCCATTTAGAAGCAAAGCGACCTAGGAAATGTAGTCCCTAACTGGGGAACCTCTGCCCAGCAAAAACTCCCATCTATAGAAAAGGTGCACAATCTTTGTTGAACTGCCAACATTGCTGCCACAATTGTATTCCAAAAGTCTTAAAGTATTGCCTTTCACTTTTATTCCACTGTATCCATCTAAAAATGATTTCTAAGGATGGTATAGTTAAGGATCTAATTGCACTTTTTTGCATGTGTATAACCATATATATGTATGTGTATGTATTTTCCATATATATAATTTTCCAGCATCTGTGGTTGAATAGCCCATTCTTTCCCCAATGATCTAAAAAGTCACTTTCGTCACATATCAAGTGTTCAGGGCTAATTGAAGACAGTACACAAGCATGTGCCTCTGTACATGTTGTGAAAAGACCAAAATACTTCCATTACCATTAGTATATAGTTACTGCCCTGAGACTCATTATCTTTAACCCATCACTTGGGCCACCCAGGTCCCTCCTCTAGAATCCCCTAAACTTCCCCACAATCCAAAAATGACATTGTTAAGCCTGGCACAGGAAGCCTGGCCTACAGTACCCGCTCAAGCGTCAATCTCTGGGGTTACAGACATCTATCCACTTCCAAGGGTCAATTTAGAGTTTGCTCCTCTAATACCATACCCTAATGACTACAGCTTTTTTTTTTTTAATCTTATCTAGGAAGCAAAGTTCTTTCATCTTATTTTTCTTCAGGAGTATCTTGACAATACTTGGACTTTTGGTTTTTCATAGACATATTAAATTCAACTAATTGTCAAATTTCTCCAGTGGTGCCACTTGGATTTTGATTGCATTAAATATGTAAGTCAATTTGTGAAGGAATAACATCTTTATTGTATTGAGTCTTCCTATCCATGCAGTTAAGTCATCTTTAGCATCATCAACAAAGTTTCATCATTTTCTCCGAGTACTTTTTACACGTCTTTTGTTGTATCTGTTCCTGTATTCTTTGTTTATCTGTGGCTCTTGTACTTAGTATCCATCACTTCTTCACATTTGCTAACTGCTTGATTTCAATATATATAAATGAAATTGAATTTTATATATTGATCTAATATCCAGTCTCCTTGTTAAATTCTTATTAAAGGTTCTTCCTATAGCTTCTTATAGGTTTTATATATAGATGATATAAGCAGCTGAGAATAATGGTAGTTTACTTTTCCTTCATAATCATTATTCCTTT